GAACCTAGTTTGCCTTCTAATATCAATGCATACGGATCAATCAGCCTCATCGGGAGAAGCTCGGCAGGCTATCAGCGCTTGCAGCTTTGAACAAAGGTTTGCGTGTTTTCGGGGCCATGAGCCTGCCTAGGTTTAGTTCGTCTTCGACGTGGATGAATGGGGTGTATATTATGTTTTCATAGAAGCATTCGAGTATTTCTGCAGATATCCCTTCTCCTTGCGTGTTCCGAACATAGTCTGCCTTCTGCATTTTCCTTTTATTATTTTTATTGAAGACATCCGTATGTAAGATCAACAAGGAAAATCCAATGAAGTAGGCTTGTTCTATAATTTAGTTAGCGCACGACCTTCAACGAAGACTGTAACCACAAATGTATCCGTACCTGAGGAAGTAAAAATGCCTGGATTGCACTCGTGATAACGATCAGCAAAGCTTTGGAGGACCCGATCAATTTGCTGAGTCTCCTTCGGCAGCTCGGCTTCCATAAGAAGTTTCCGGATTGCCATATCAATAGGGTCGCCGAAAAATGAAAATCCACGCATATACTTTCTTAAAGCTGTCGCGTAAAACTCCTCTGCAGACAGTGACAGGATACTGGCAATCGCCCCACGGCGAACAGACCTTTCCAACCGAGAAAGGTAAGTGGCTGGGGTATCATCTTCTTCCCTAGCCGGGAACGACACCAAATCCCGTCCTAATGCAACGGAATTAGATTTTGAAGCAATTGATGCAGGGGTACCTGGTGCTCCAAAACTCGGAGAAGCATCGCCCGTTCCGTTTAGATCATGATTATGTTTAAAACGAGCCGGAATAGCGAAAAGGTCACTAAAGCTCTTCCGTGTAGATGGATTCGTTGTTGAAGTTCGGTTGGAAGGAACAAGATCGGGCGATGAATGATGTTGACCATCTTGAATATCGGAAAGAGAGCCTATCGTTGATGACCTTTGTCTGCGTGAGATGCGACCTCGTGTGTTGGGAAAGATGGATGACTTAGCAGAGTGCGCAGACGCGATCGAGTCTTTTCGGAGCAAGGCCGGTCCGGGAGATGAAGTGCCAGGCGTTCCAAAACCTAATGAAGATTGGGATGGAGAAGGAAGTGATGGAAGTGATGGAAGCGATGGAGCATGCTCATGAGTGTGATCAGTAGAACTGCGAGATTTATTCCCGCCGGTTTGGGGACGATTGGATTCGGACAACTTCGACGCTTGTCCTGGAGGCGATATTTTAGCAGCTAATGGGAAGAGTGGACCTTTGCTGCGCTTCAGTCGCGGTAGGCGGAAGAAGGAGCTGGTGCTAGCAGCGGCGCTGGTTTTCACATAGACACCATGCTCAGCAGAGCTCGCGTCTGACCTAGAAGATTCTGAAAACCGGGTACTGGGAACTGGACCACCATCGCCATGTGCACGGACAGCTCCACCGCTCCGTAACGAGGTGGTTGATAGTCTGCCAGGTTCTTCAAAGCTTATGTGAGAAGCTCTGAGGCTTGAAGGGGCGGTTGGTGAGTTATCCACTCCAGAAAAATGTTGAACGGAACTTCCATTTGAGGTATTGGAATTGCTAGGCGTGTGGTTATAGTTTCTGGGCGTGGTTGCCGCATGCCCCGAAACAGGTTTCTCAGAGCCAATTTTGAACATGCTCATTCGTTTCGGAGCTGGCGTCTGGTTTGGAAACGTTGGTGATGTAGTGATGATTGTGGGCGCTTGAATATAGGAAAATAACAATGGTCAGCAAGGATGATTTGCTTCAAAGCATTCATGTATTAAAAATGTGGTTTATGTTACTTACGAGGTAATGAAGGGACAGGAGGGGTCCCTGTCTCGTTATATGAGGCAGATAGTTGGGGATCTGATGCATGTCTGAAGCGCATCAAGCTGAATCTGTTCCGCAAGGAGATTTGTTGTTTGGCATTGTGATCTGATGTATCTCTGGAAGCTGCTGGAGGGTTGTCGTGTGGGTGGGACGGCTGAGCGATCCCAGATTCTCCGACCAGCGGTGAATTTGCGTTCGACTCTGACAAACGCGGGATCAGCTGCCCCATTGTGAAAGTCGAACGTGGAATCTGTTCACTGTGACGCACAGGAACAGGCGCAGGACTAAGCGATTGTTGCGGTTGGGAATCGTGACCAACAGGGCCACCAAAGCGAAACACTTTCCATGTCATGATGTAGAATTTGCCCATAACCAACACAGTCAACGACTCATGACATGCGAGGTGGAGAGCAAACCGCTACGCAATGGGTAAGCTCCCTCCGATGGTATGCTCATAGGATCTCTGGCATTCGCAAGCTGGCCAATTCGTTTGTCCAGGGACGGTTTGCGCATGGGGATTTACCAATTCAGGATCGTGGAAGATGATGACAACCAAACGAACGACATTCCAACAGACAACAAGTCAAGAAGGAACCCGATAATGACGACAAGAAGTGTTATCCACAACTCTCCAGGGGATCTTTCAGCAAGATACACCGGCAGATTGCAGAGCAATGTCCGCCTTGTCCTGGTCGTCGTCGATGTCACGGTCTGGGATGGTCTTGCAACGTCAACGTAATCGGATCAAAAGGGAGGGAGTTGCCAAGGCCCGCGGTTCGAGACACTGCGAGCTAGCGTCAACCGGAACAAACCTACGATGCGCTGACTCCAGACAGAGAAGAAGCACGACGAACCTCAAAGGGCTATGATACCTTTCAGCGATGTCGATAGTGATTGAGCATTGATGGTCTTGCAAACAGCGTGTTTGGGCCATCTAGAATGGGGCGCCGTCACCATGCGACTTTGCCATCAATGTCTGAAGCCCTGGCTCAGCCCCTTAATTCTCGCCTCCGAATGGCTCCTTCTCGGCCGCTATGGCTGATGGGGACTGGTCCCAATCTGATCGAAGATGCCCCCACTGGCTTCGGATACTTTGAAGACCCAATTTTCGCTTCGAAAAAAAGAAATGGTTGACGGGCCTAAAAATGGAAACAAACAATCCACGAACAACAGAACTCAGACACGATACTTATTGAAAGGTCCCACAAGGCTGCATTCTTAGCCCACCATGCATGTCTGGGGAAAAATGATTGTTTCTGGGAAGTCTCAAGTCTTCAAGGTTCTACATTCATTATTTCTACCTATTGAAAAGACTTTTCACACCTGTGAACTTCTAATAACCATTCTCTCTGTGTAGGAGGATCGCATGCTTAAACATCCAATGTCAGAAGAGCTACTGCTGGGTGCTCACTAGTATATAAGCTTTTTTGCCGGTTTTAAAGTCTACGGAGGCGTGCGCAATGGTATGGTATCCCTTTCAAATTTTAACAAGAGTGACGTAAGAATAAGCAACTGAACTAATTTCCATTTCGAGAACCAGGGGTGGGGACAATGGGCATAATAACAATGGACTTGTTACCATCAATCCGATTATGCTATCTCAAAGCCAGCTGGAGAAATAAAGGAGCACGGTTTTTCGGCACCCCTGGTCAATGGTCAAAGACCCTCTCTAAATATAAACAGCGAATGCTTATAAACTCGTTCCGCAAAAATAAAAGGGGGAATGTGGCTTCAGGTCATTGGTATGAGAAAGAGTACTAGTAGATATGGTTCAACAGCTACTGTCATTCTTGTTTTGTATGCTAAAATCACTGGTTGACTCTGAAGCCGCTCTCTTTGAGCTTCCCTGGCCTCGCATCAACACAGCATAACTCCATGTCAATGCATATCATCTGGGCAGGAGACGTGACCTTTTTGGTACTGCCGGTGGACGATGCAGTATAACGGCCCACGAGGAGGAGTGGGCAAGTTCAACTCTTGCTGATGGGGAATTCGGAAACCTGCCAACTGTTTATCCTCAGGTTGGGTAATAAAATCGCTATTTGCACTGCGAGCCTCTGCTTGATTTGTCACTTTCGTAGCTCCTGCATATGATCTGCCACACGCCCACAAGCAACCACAACACAATCTTCAATCCGTCGTGATCAATCTAAGAAGCTCCATGGCTGCCACAGATAAGTCTCTGGAGGTAAGTTTTTTTTTTGACATTTTATACACAAATGTACTGTATATGTGATGGCCATATATATTCCTAGCAGACAATGTATGTTCCTGTCGCCAAGGGTTCTCACTCAGCCTCATCTAGGCAAGCAACCTGGCAGAGATCTGGAAAGCCATATTCCGACCGGGTGCAGCAGAGGAAAACCAATTTGCAAACAAATACTATACCTGGCACAGACCTCTCTCGATCCAAGCTCTCCTCGGACAACCTCGAACGTGGACGTCGTGGAGCTATAGAGCTGCCTACCCAAAGCTTTCTACACTCCTGGAACAAGCTTCCTTGGAAAACAAATTACGGTGCCGTGTCAACTTCGTGGAACTTGCAATAGATAACGATCGATATGATCTTCGAAAACTCAGTTATAATGAAGCACATGCTCCCCTGTCCGTCATTTTCGACGCTCTGAATGTAATTCCCACTCAGATGGGACGTGCAGATCATTCCGAGGTAAAAATCGAGGGTATTGCTCTTATTAAGAAGCTCGCCCGGATACTTCACATTACAGATATTTCGCCTTTGGTGCTCAATTGCATTTTTGGGACATCCTCTGGGTCTGTCATATGCCAAGAAGCTCTATCACTCCAACAAGGGCTCATGCTGATAGATACTCTGCAGTCTCGATATCAGTCATATCGCAGCATTTGTTGATAGAAATCTGAATGGTTTGAATTGGGCAAAGGTGAATCTGCTTCAAATGAGAAACGCGGTACGATATACGTTATGTTGAAAATGGAGATTCTAAAAGCAAAGAGACCATATTAACAAATTCTGCAATTCACCCACAGGGCTGGTCTTCATATATCTACGAATATCACTTTTCTTTCTATTACGTTACCTTCGACTATTTCGAGCCCGATACAGTGAAGCCAGATCCACGCAAAATTCGAAGATCATGCCCGTTCGGGAAAAGAAAGAGTATGAAGCATCGCTATATACATGAAGAAGCCATTTCATTCTTATTATGTGGCCACTTTGACGACGCCTTTACTTGCTACCAGCTGGGAGACACCTACTTTAGGCCTCGCTATGCTAGAGACACAGGGCCCCGTTTTTTTCGGACGTATGTTCCCAATCAATCCCCTGGACAGCTCTTGCTGTATTGGATCGCAGTGGCCCTATTCCATGCGAGATCAAGGTGGGAAAATGCCATCGATGCACTGGACGCGGAAATCAAAGCACCGGTATTTCAAACACCCAATTTAAAACTTATGGAACTCCTTTTCTAACGCGCCCTGGTATCCAGTCTGACGTCGTGTTCATGGAAGACAGAAGTGGTTCGTAGACCTACATCCACATTCGTTTAGACGGATGTGTTCTCAACGGTTAACATTTGCCAGATCTGATGGCCGACGACCCTCAGTTTTCTCTCTCCAAAACGTATTTCTGGGCCCTTCAAACATATAAATTATTCGAAGTACGTCCCCAGTACAACCTAGGTTTTCATTTCCCACATAGACATTTGATTATGAACTTAACACATATCCAGCGGACCCTTGAGCAAACAATCGCGACATGGGAGACTTTCAAGATCGATTCATTGCCAAAAATCCAGGATGGAAGGATAAGTCCCGAAAATTGGGATGCTAGCGTCCGCAGCATAGACCAGGCAATCGAACTCCTCAAACCAAAGATAAATCGGATTAAACGTGGCATACAAGACGTGAGGGATCTCCGGGAAGGTGTACGTCTTAATTTGCCATGACCGGTTTGCTTAGAATCCTTTTGCCTGGGTGGTAGTAACTTACATACACATCCAGCTCCAATCAACCGCTGCAGTCTTCGATAGCCGAACTGCAGTTCGCCAGGGAGAGAATATTCGCCTGTTAACATACATCACGCTGCTGTTTCTTCCCCTTTCCTTCGGCACGGTCGGTAGCGTCTTCTTTAGTATGTTATACTTGTATCAATTTTCACATGTTTAACCTTCAAATAAAATATACATAGGGCATTTTCAGCATGCAATTCGTCGAGCCAAGCTCGAGGACAGTCAAGGCCTTCGCCATCACTTTGCCAGTGATCACCATTGTCAGCGCTCTTCTAATTTTCAACCTCAACACGCTAACAGTGGCATTCGACTCCGCAGTGCGCAAAGCTACCTTCGGCCTCCAACGGCAGATGAGACTCCATCACAGGAACGACTGGAAGGACAGAGCTCTCGCGTTATATCAAGATGATATAAGCACAGAGTCTCCAGTGCGAAAAGCTTCTAAAGAAAGCAGTCGCTGGGTGTATATTCTTTTCCTATTCGAGGTAGCCATGGTTGTCATTCCAGTTTCTGAGCTGAATGCCGCGTTGCATTTCTATGGGCTTTTCGGTTCCGAGCAAGAGAGGGAGCGCGATGCTGTGGATGATGACTACTCGGATAAAGATGACGGTAGCTCTCATCGCCCTCGGAAGGGTAGACAGAAAGAGGTCTTGATGAGAGTGAAGAGGGCTGCGAAACAAGCGGAAGAGGAGGAACGCAAACGAAAAGACGAAGAGAGGGGGTGGGCTATAGCGCTTTTAAGACGCTCTTATAGAAACACTCGTCATCTCGGGAGCGCGTTGATGCATACCATCTTCACCTCCGCCAGGGTTCTCTTATTACCAATCTGGGTGCCGATTCTCCTTGTCGAGTACATCATTACCGTACTCGCATTCACACTGCTATTCAACCAGCACCCCTCCCAAGCCAACCCTAGCTCAGCGATGCCTGAAGAGGAATCGTTGGCGGTCCATTCACTCTCACCCTTCATCCGAGCATGGCGCACCCTTGGCCTAAATACCCTTACCCTCCCAACCCGACACCACCATCCGCATGATAACCCTTCCTCCCCTAGACTCTCTGACACATTCTCGCACGAACCACACCTCTCAAACGTAAGAAGTAAAGAGCAGACCCCGACAGAAACTAAACTTCAATCTCCCCAGTGGTCTGCCACTGCCACTGCTACGACGAAACTTCAAGGAACCCATGACGCTTCCAAGCACCCAGGCGAACATTCGCCCGTAGTGGCTTCGCCGGAAACCCTTCAAGAAGAGGAGGACATTACACCAATCCCATTTACGGACGTCGAGGTATCAGTATTCGACCCGAGACGATCGCGCCGGACGCCGGGGGCCAGGTTGCACAAGGCTGCATTTTCTGCGAGGCGTGGGAATGGGGCTGGGAAGGGGGCGTAGCGAACTAACAATGAGATGGGGTGAATGGACTTAGAATAGCATGGTTTGTTTGGGCGAGATTGAGAAAAAGCGGAATAGAGGGAGGGGTCAGCGGAGAGGAAACGGGGCGTGATAACCCGAGAGGAGAGAGAGGGAAGGCGAGCCGGCATGC